TAGCTGCTCCCCAAGTAGAAGTTTCAAAGAGGTAACTTTATGCTCTGTGTCAGGATCAACTCTGTAACAATTAGAACTGTCCAGAAAGGAAATGGGCAGCCTCTCAAGGAAGTGGCTTCCCCCCTCCTTGGAGGGGTTCAGGCAGATGCTGGGAGAATGCTTGTTGGGTATGTTATAAGTGGGGATTCCCTTGTTGTATGGATCGGGCTGTACGGTGGCTAAGATCCCTTCCCACCCTCAAATTCTGTGATTCGGTGGATCAGTCTGCTCTCAGTTTCCCAAACATCCCGTCGCTTTGTCCGCCTTGCTCGTGCTCCCTCCGCTCAGCAGGCCCACCTCCCATCTCTGCCTGCCTACTTCTTACCTCTCTTTCCAGTCCTCCCTCATCCTTGGAGTTCCCTTGCATTGTTGTGTTCCTTTGGTCATATGTATCACAGATTGCCTCATGCTATACTGGTTTGTGTTTTTGTCCCCACTTCAGTTCAACAAATATATGCGCTGGGGACACAAAGAAGAAATGCTAGAGAGTCCCTGTCAACAAGGGGCTTGTGCTCTAAAGAATATAATCTAGGTTTGGAGGACTAGGTGATTCCTCACTGTGTTGTCCCTGGATGGCACTTAGTCCAGGGTTATGCACATAGTGGATGCTCGGCAAGTATTTAATGAGTGTAAAGGATGATGCCAAGGAGGAGGAGGAGGAGAACTTTAATGAGAATGTTTGCCAGCTAGGGAGCCGCATTTAGGAGTAGCGTCCTTGGGAGAGAAGAAATAAAGACTCAGCCTCCCCTAGCACCAGTGGCCCAGCTTTTAAGCAGTATATAAGACGCACGAGGACGTGGCAAAATGCATTGTTGTCCCTTTTAGCTCTAGACTCCCTCACCTTTAGTGCCTCCAAACCCTTTGTGGTCCTTTGTGACCCCTCTTTCTCCTTGCAGTCCCAGTCCCAGGCACCCTATTCCTTCTTCCTTCACTGGCACCCCGTGTTACCTCTCCTCCACCCTCTCCAGGATGGCGCCTGCCTTCTCCCTACCCCACACTCCGGGTCACAGGTGACAGATCAACGATAAGATAAACCAAGTTCTACTAATTTTTACGGCGGTAGAGGTTCACAGGGTTTCTGTAGCCAACATACAGACAAACTGCTGCACAACCATAGTTTATTGGACAGAGGAGCCAGGAGACCTGACTTTTAGTCTTGCCTTTGACATCGATTGTGAATGGCTGTCGTGTGTGACCTTGAGCAAGTCATTTCTCCTCCAGACTTCAGTTTCTCCATTTGTAAAAAGAAGAGGCTGGACTTGATGGTTGGTCTCTAAGGTTCTTTTTAGTTCTACAACCCTATATGGATTTTATTTTTCCTCTCATCTATAGCCTTGGCTTATTTGAAGTAGTTTTTTTATTTTTTAATTAGCAAGTATTTAAAAAATTAATCTGTTTCTACCACTATCCACCTTTACCCCATCCCAACTGAGCAAATAAATATTTTAAAACCCTGAAAAGTAAAGTCCTCAATACTTGCATAGTCTGGCAAAACAAATTCCCATATTAGCCATATCTAAAAACACATGTTTCTTTCTGCATTTTAGGTTCATCACCATGAGGTGAGTGGCATGCTTCATCTTTATTCTTTTGATTTCCTGGTTTATCGTTGTGTTGATCAAGTTATAAAGATTTTCAAAGTGTTTTTTTTTAATAGTGTTGTTATAATTGTATAAATTGTTTTTTATAGTTTTCAGTTCCCTCTGCATCAGTTCACAGAGTAAGTCACAGTTTTCTCTAAAATTGTCCATTTCATAATTTCTTATGGTGTGATAACATCCCATTACATCCAGATACCACAATTTGTTTGCTTATTCCCCAATAGGAGAATTCCCCTTTGGTTTCCAAATCTTTACTGCCACCAAAAGTGTTGCTGTCAACATTTTTGTACATATTTTCCTTTGATTTCTTTGGCGATAAGGGCCTAGTAGTGGTATTGCTAGGTCAAAGAGTATGCCCACTTTAGTGATTTTCTAGGCATAGTTCCAAATAGCTTTTCAGTCTGTGCATTTTAAATGGACCCACTGGATGAATGGCTCTAATGGCAGGTGAAAAAAAGCCTGTTCAGTTATGCGTGGTTGTTGTGTTTGTTAAATATTAGATGCAGATAAATTTCTTCCCGGAAAACCAGTGCTTAGCACAGTACATAGCAGGTGCTTAATCAATGTTGATTGATTGAAAACCAGTATATCTGCCTCAAACTTTGATTGATAAAGTGAGTTTAGAAGAGGAATTAAAATATTTTGCCAGTATGATAACATACGTAAGAAATGTATGTGTATGTAAGTATGCATATGTATATATATATGCATGTATATATCTTTGTGTGTATATATGTATGCATGTATGTATATGTATATGTGTATGTATGTCTCTGTGTGTGTGTGTGTGTGTGTGCTTAATTGTACCTTCTTGGCGGAATGGCGGGGATCTTTGGCCAGTGAGTGATAAAACAGAGCATAGGTGACTCGTTGTCCCTTATTAGGTTGAGGAAGAAGAGGGAAGAGGACTGGAGAAATAGGTTTGGGGGGGAAATGAGCAGGTAGCTGGGTCTTCTGACCAGAAAGTTTTTAGATTAGGCTATTGGTGAGTTATTTTATGATTGTCAATCTAGCTTGTGCCCCAACCATTCTACTGAAACAGTTTTCTTTCAGGCCATTAATGACCTCATTACCACATTTCCTCATCCTCCCTCTGATTCCTCTTGACCTTGCTGTAGCATCGGACACTGTGGACCACTGCATCCTGGATAAATTGTTTTCCCTTTGACCTGTCACTGTATTCTAAAGACAGCTAGGTGATACAGTGGATAGAGCCCTAGGCCTGGAGTCATAAAGACCTGAGTCCATAGCTAACCTCAGATACTTATTAGCTATGTGACCTTGGACAAGTCACTTAATCTATTTGCCTCAATTTCCTCAGATGCAAAATAGTGACAATGACAGTGCTACCTTATGAGGTAATGCTGTTGTAAGGATCAAATGAGATAATATTTGTAAGAAGCACTTCGCACAGTGCTTGGCACATAATAATAGTAACTAACATGTATGTGACTCTTATTATGTATAGTGTAGGTGCTATATAAATGCTTATTCCCTTTCTTTTCCTGGTTTTCTTCTGACCCCTCCTTCTGTCTCTTTTTCTGGCTTCTCATGCTCCTCTCATCCCTTAAATATGGATGTTCCCTCAAGCCTGTCCTAGGCCCCCCCTTTTATTCTTTCTCCACACTCTCCCATGGTGATCTCTCCTATTCTATTGCTTCGATTATTACCTCTATGAAACTGCCTCCCAAATCTATATCTCTCTCTCAACTTCTCTCAAGAACTCCAGTCTTACATTTCCAATTGCCTGCCGGATATCCCTACTACATGTCTAAAACTGAGTTCATGATCTCCCCCACCTCAACCCCCACCCCTTCCTCATCTTCCTGAACCTGTCCCCTCCACCTAACTTTTCTATTTCTGTTAATGGTACTATTATATTCTTAGTATTTCAGGCTCATAACCTTGGAGCCATATTTTCGCTCTTCCCTCCCTGTCACCTCACACATACAGAGATTTGCCAAGTCCTCTACCCTAAAATATACATCTTACATCCAGCCCCTCCTCTCCACTCCTACTGAAACCATCCTACTTTGGATCATTTTTTCTTACCTAGCTTGTTGTAATAGGGTCTCAACTGGTCTCCCTTCCTCCAGTCTTTTCTCCAATCCTTCCTTTAGGCTGCCCAGGTAATTTTCCTAATGCATGCCTATAATTATGCTACTCCAAACCTTCAGTAGCTCCTTTTGGTGTGTATGGGGTGTTCAGAGAGCACTAGCACCTCTGGCATGAGGGCTTGCTGAGCCATTTTCAGGGCTGCTCATCCACCTTTAGTGTCCACAACCCAATTCTCACCTGTGGCTCCAAGAAGCTGTAGCATGTGCAGTGGCCACACCCCAGTAAATTGTATTGGCAAAGAGGCTAGCCAAGGTTGAGGGTAACTGACTGGCTTCAAACCCATCTGTAAGTTGGGATGGCTATCCCAAGCATGTGAAGACTTCCCCAGTGGAAAGGGCAGATAAGAACAATTTGTTCCAATAGCCATGAAGGAGTTGAAGCTGGCGCGGTAGAGCTCTTAGAGCTTGGTCAGACATAGAAGATGCCAAAGTCATCCACTACGTCCTGGGCCATCGTTGGTCATCTTGACTTTGCCACAGGAATTCAATGACTTTAAAAGGGAGAATGAGGCTGACAACTTTGTGCACTCTGCTTCACTTAAATCCAATTCATGGGCAAGTCAAGACATCACCCATTATGTCATTGGTCCTCTTCAAAAATGAAGGATGAACAACAGCTCCTTTTGACCTACCAAAGAAAGTGTAAACTCCTGAATTTCATTCAGGTCATTCAGGGCCAACCCACAATTTGGCTCCACCCTACCTATGTGATTGTCTTATACCTTTCTGATTTCAACCAACCAGCATTTATTAAGCATTTACTATATGCTTAATGCTGCTAAGTGGCTCAGTGGATAGAGTGCCAGGCCTGGAGTCAGGAAAACATGAGTTCAAATCCAGCCTCAGACGTGTACTAGCAGTATGACCTTGGGCAAGTCACTTAACCCTGTTTCCTTATCTGTCCAATGATGTAGAGAAGGAAATGACAAACCACTCCAGTATCTTTGCCAAGAAAACCCCCAATGGAGTCACAAACAGTAGGACAAGACTGAACAACAACAACATTGTACCAGTTACTGTGCTAAGTACTGAGGATATAAACAAAGGCAAAAACACTGTCCTTGACCTTAAGGAGCTCCCGTTCTAATGGGGGGAGACAACATGAAAATAATGAGGGATCTACAAGATAAACTGTATGTTGCTGACCTGACTCTTCTCTCTACCCCTTCCTGCTTCTTATTTTCCCCCTTTCATCTTGAGGCCTTTGTTCTGCCAATCCTTTTCATAATTCTTTTCATTTCAGGGCTTCAGTCAAGCCAAATCACCTCACCTGGTCCCTGCCAACCCATCAAAATTCAACAGGGAATCAACACGAGGCCATGGAAGCCGGATCAATGGAACAAGCAAGTAGAAAACAGATTTCCTGGGTCTGCTGCCACCTGCAAGTCCCTTTCCAGGGAGCCACAAGTCTTTCTAACATTCTTCTCTCTCACCTCCCAGAGCTGAGCAAGAAAGTCAAGGGGTAAAGGTACTTAGAGCCAGATGGTGTGGGGAAGGAGGGACTTGAACTATGGGACTTCTACTGAGCCTACTCTGTCTCCATTCCTCTCCACTCTCTACCAGCCAATGGCCTGGATTTAACTTCCTCTCCACCCCTCCTTCCTGCACCATGTCCCCAAATCCCGTGAAAGAGAATCTGGATGCAATATTCCTTGACGTAGAAAGACAAGGGGGAGACTTTTTTTTGAAGGGCAGAGAGTAGCTGTGATCTGAACCTTCCCACATTTCTCGGAAGCCAGGTCTCCTGGGGAATGGGTCCTTAGTTGTGGGGGAAATTTTCACATCCAGGCTCCCTCCTAATGTGGAGAATTTAGAACAAGGTATTTTAAAGATTTTAGACATTCTTCCTTGAATTTTTTTTTCTTGGTGAGGCATTTGGGGTTAAGTGACTTGCCCAGGGTCACACAGCTAGAAAGTGTTATGTGTCTGAGGCTGGATTTGAACTCAGGTCCTCCTGATTCCAGGGCCAGTGCTGTATCCACTGTGCCACCTAGCTACCCCCTTCCTTGAATTTTAAATACAGCATAGGGTAGTGAAGAAAAAAAAGGCACTAGATTTGGAACCAGTGATGTGGGTTCAGATGGGACCTTTGATATTTGTTGCCAGTGTGACCTTAATTGAGTCACTTGACCTCACTGGGCTTCAATTTCTCATCTGTAAAATAAGGAGTTGGACTGGCTAATGCCTAATATGCCCTTCTAGTTCTAAATACTGTGATCTTTTTCTTTGAGTAGCATTTGGACTGCTGTTTTCCTTTAGAAGGGCAATAATATTGATCATGAAATCAATAAAAATTATTGACTATTACAGCAGAAAATTCAATTCAATTAAATCTAACAAGCATTTATTAAATACCTTACTACTATGTGCCAGGCACTTCACTGGAAGCTGGAGGACCCAAAAACAAAAGTGAAAAGAGAGCCTGTTCTCCAGGAATTTGTATTCTAGTGGGGGAAATGGGCACACAGATAAATACAAAACACATGCAGAGTAAACACAAAATGATTTGAAGGGAGGGATTTAACAATTGGGGAAAGCAGGAAGGGCTTTGGTAGAAGGTGGTACTTGAGCTGAGGCTTTAAGGAAGCTAGGGATGCCTTGAGGCAGAAAATGAGGAGAGTCAGCCTTCCAGGAAGGTGGATCAGCACCCCCAAAGGCCTGGCAGTAGGAGATGGAAACTTGTGCACAGGAGACAACAAGTAGAGCTGTTTGGCTAGAAGTAAGTGTGTAGGAAGAGGCGTAATATGAAAAAAAAAAATCTGAAAACAAAATTATGAGGGGCTTTAAATGCAACATAAAGGAATAACATGAAGCTTCTTGAGCAGGGGAACGACATGATTGGAACTGTACTTTCAAAAAATTTAAATTTATTTTTCCAATTACATGTAAAAACAATTTTTAACCTTCATTTTTTAAAATTTTGAGTTCTAAATTTTCCCCCTTCATTGAAAAAGCAAGCAGTTTGATATAGGGGTATATGGGTTGTTCAGGGAGGACTAACACCTAGGGCATGAGGGTTGCTTTTCAGCCTTTTCAGGGCTGCTTTCCACCTTTGGTGTCTACCTGCCACCCAGCTCTCACCTGTAGCTCCAAGAAGCTGTTGCATACTTAGTGGCTACACCCTAGTAAACCTTTTCGGCAGCTGGGCTAAACCAGGTTGAGGATAACAGACAGGCCACAAACCCATTGGTGAGTTGAGGGGTGTCTATCCCAAGCATGTGAAGACGTCCCTGGGCAAATGTAAACAATTTGTTCCAATGGGCCATGAAGGTGGAAGCAGGTGCTGTGGAGCTCTTAGAGTTTGGTTAGCCATCCGAGATGTCATCTTGGTCAGCCAAGGTCATCCACTGTATCTGGAGTCATCCCCAGTTGTCTTGACTTTTGTCTTGCCACTGGACTCTGATGACTTTGCACAACTCTGCTTTACTTAAATCCAACTTTTTCTTTCTTTCTTTCTTTCTTTCTTTCTTTCTTTCTTTCTTTCTTTCTTTCTTTCTTTCTTTCTTTCTTTCTTTCTTTCTTTTGGCAATTGGGGTTTAGTGACTTGCCCAGGGTCACACAGCTAGTAAGTGTCAAGTGTTTGGTCTGAGGCCAGATTAGAACTCAGGTCCTTCTGACTTCAGGGCCGGTGCTCTATCCACTGCACCACCTAGCTGCCCCTTAAATCCAATTTCTATCCTAGTCAATAGACATTACCCATGCCATTTTACCATTTTTACCTACCTCAAAGTTCTGTGGTGATAGGCAAGTGATGAAGCAGCAGGTACAGATACACAGGGATCTATAGTCACAACCCTGCACACAGGAGTGAAGCAGGGCTATGTTCTTCTTGTCATTCTTTTTAGCAAGATGTTTTCAGCAATGTTGTCTGACACCTTCAACGAGGATGAAAAGAGCTTCAGGGTCAGCTACCACACTAACAGTAAATTATTTAATTTGAAAAGGCTACAAGCCAAGACTAAAGTAGAGGAAGAATTGGTATGCAACTTTTTGTTCACAGGTGATTGTGTGCCTCTGAGGCTGAGATGCAACAGAGCATGGATAGATTCTCTGCTGCTTGTACTAATTTTGTCCTGGCAATTAACAAGAGAACGGGTTCTTCACCAGCAAGCACTGTACCATCCATATGTGGAACCATCACAGTTAGAGCAAATGGAGAAATTTTGAATGCTGTGGATAAGTTCACTTATCTTGGCAGTGTACTTTTCAGGAATGTACACATAGATGATGAGGTTAATACACTCATTGCCAGAGCTAGCTCAGTGTTTGGGAGGTTATGAAGGAAATTGTGGGAGAGAAGAGGTATTAAACTGCCAACCAAACTGAAAGTCTACAGAGCTGTTGTGCTGACCTCATCCTTGTATGCCTGTGAAAGCTGGACAGTATACCTGCATCATGCCAGGAAACTGAAGAGCTTTCCTAGAAATTGTCTTAGGAAGATTCTGAAAATCACCCAGCAAGCTAAGGTACCAGGCACTGAGGTACTTTCTCAAGCCGAACTGTTAAGCATTCAAACTCTACTGCAAAGAGTGCAACCTTGATGGGCTGGCCATGTTGTTCAAATGCCAAACTTTCTTTGCCTAAAAGACTTTTACAGAGAACTCACACAAGGCAAGTGCTCACGTGATCAAAAGAGTCAATACAAGAACACTCTCAAGGTCTCTCTGAAGAACTTTGGAATCCATTGTGACTCATGGAAGACACTGGAACAGGATTGCCCAGCATGGCCCCCATCAAAGAAGGTGATTTGCTCTATGAGCAAAGCAGAATTACAGTAGCTCAAAAGAAACATGAGATGTGAAAATTTAGAGACATCTCCACTCCAAATATTCATGTGGACTATTTGTGCCCAACCTTCAGTAGAGCCTTCCGAGCTCATATTGTTCTGATCAGCCACAGTCAGATACACCGTACCTTCACCCCAACATAGTGATGGCATTTTGGTCCTCTTTGAACACAAAGAACAACAACACACCAACCAATTTGATATAGATTGTACATGTGTATTGATGCAAAACATTTCCATATTATTAATCGTATGTGAAAGAAAACAGACCAAAAAAAAAAAAGTAAAAGTTTTAAAAAAGTATGCTTTGATCTACCTTCTGACTCCATCAGTTTTTTCTCTGGAGGTGGATAGCATTTTTCATTATAAGTCCTTTGGAATTTTCTTGGATCATTATATTGCTGAGAATAGCTAAGTCATTCATAGTTGATTATTGTATAATATTTCTGTTACTGTGTACACTGTTCTCCTGTGTTTAGAACTGCACTTTAAGAGTATCCCTTTGGCACCTCTGTGGATAATGCATTGGAAAGGGGAGGAACTGGAGGTGGACAGGCTAATTAGGAAAAGATTACAGTAGTCCAGGTGAGAGCTAATGAGGACTTAAAGTAGGGGAGGTGGCTGGTGAGTGGAAAGGAGACTTATTAGAGACATATTGAGGAGATAGAATTGACAAGATTTGACAGTGAATTGGATAGGGAGAGAGAGAGAAGGAGAAGGAATGATCCAGAATGACTCCAGGGTTTCCAAGCCGGGTGGTTGGAAGGGCAGTTGTGATTCCAGCAGAAGCAGGGAAATTAGAAAGAAGTTTGAGGGGGAAGAAAATGATCGAGAAAACTTACAGACCATTTAATGCAATATTTTTTTTTCCAGATATGAAAACTGAGGCTGATAGAAGGGGGACCAGACTGTTGTGGTATAAAGAGCCCTGGTCTTGGGCACAGAAGATCTGAGTTCAAATCCTAGCTCTTCTACTTGATGTCAACTTGGGTGAGTTTCCTCATCTCTGAAATGAGGATGATAAGATTTGAACTACCTGGCTCACAGGCTTGTGATCAAAATCCATTTGCACAGTTTAAAAGCATCCTATATCAGTGTGAGGTGTCACTATTAGTGCCCAAAATCACATACAAGTCTAGGACAGAGCCAGGACTTAAAGAAGCAAGATTTCCTAACTCCCAGTTCATGGTTCTTTTCAATGTAACACACCAAAGCTGCTGCTAAGGCACCAATCCAGTTCAATCCAAAGCTTTCATTAAACACCTACTATGTGCTAGGCACTGAGAATATAAAAACAAAGTGACAAACAGTCCTTGCCCTCAGCTTGCTTACATTCTACAAGGAAATACGACATACAAAAAAATAAGCATATTTTAAAACACTGACAGCTTAAGGGACCAGGAATGGCTTCCTGTTGAGGTTGGCACCAGCTGTGCCTTCAAGGAAGCCAGGGATTCTAATAGCAGTTGGCAGTGAGGAAGGCAGGCATTCCAGGAATGAGGGACAGCTTGTACAAAGGAATAAAGTAAAGGGCAAAAGAGAATGCCAAGTCTGGGGAAAAGCAAGTAACCCAGTTTGGCTGCAATTCAGAGTGTAAAGGGGAGTGGTGTGAAATATGTCTAGAAAAGTGTAAGCTGGAGCCAGACTATCAAGGACTTTAAATGCTAACTGAAGGGCTTCCAGAGCTAATAGGGAGCCATTGCCGGTTATTGAACAGGAAACCGATATGGTTCCACTTGTGCCCTAGGAAGAATGTTTTGTGTCTACACAAAGGATATATTGTAGAGAGGAGAGACTGGAGGCAGGAATTCAGTCAGCAAGCTGTTGCAGTAGTAAAGGGAGAAGTTAGGATATCCTGAACTAGGGTAGTGGCCTTATGAATAGAATGAGTGTGAGAAGGATGGCAGTGATGACCACAGATGTGCTTGGAGTGTATTCAGGCCCAGCCGGAGGAAGCACAGAGCCTGAATACCAGGCCCATGGTCTGTGCAGCTTATGGTGATGATGATGATAAAAGTGACATCAATCCATCAACAAATGTTTATTAAATGTCTACAATGTATAATGCACTTTGTGAGGTCCTAGGGAAGATCCAAAGCTTAATAGACCCAGTCCTTGCCCTCAACAAGTTTAATTCAAGTGGGGTGGTAAAAAACAGATAATCAGAACACACAATAATACATGATCAATGTATTAGATAGTGATAGGGACAGGACTTGTGATTTTATGGGTACAAAATAAAAGTGCTAAATAATAAAGATCTGTGGAAGAAGATTGCTACCAACTGAGTCTATCAAAGAAGGCTTCCTGGAGGAGGTGTTGTCTGAACTTTAAAGAATGGAAGGTTATTCTATGGAGGCATGAGAAACAGACGTAGAACACCATTCAGTTCAGTTTTGTTGGAGTGAGGGGTGAGTAGACAAGACTTCTGGAGCCATGCCTGTCTGGAGGCTGCTAGATGCAGTTAGGTAAGATGAATAGAGTACTAGACTTGGGGTAGGGAGTCCTGGAGTGCAAATCCTGCCTGGGTCTCCTACTAACTGTAGGATTCTTGAAAGCCACTTTATTTCTCTGGGCCTCAGTTTCCTTATCTGTAAACTGGGGAGAATAGTAGCACCTACCTCACAGAGTTGTTATGAGGATCAAATGAGATAATATAAGGACAGTTTAGTAATTATGATTAACTATTATAAATTATAGATATTATATAATTATTATTATATAATTATATGTAACATAATATTATTAATACTATTATTATGATAAAGGTAGGCGGAGGATTTTTGAATATAACACCAAAAAGACCCCAAACTTCGAATTTTCCTTGGTAGGCACTGAAGAGTATCTAGTAGAAAAATAACATAACCAGATCCATGCATAAAAAAGAGCCTTCTGTCATGGGGGTGGGAAGAGGAGAATAGAAGCAGGATGACCTGTTAGAACAATAGATTTGGAAGAGAACTTTAAGCTCACTGAGTCCAAGCTCCTCATTTTCCATCTGAGAACAAGAGAGCTCAAGTGATTTGCCCAAAGGTACACAGCTACTAGCAAGTATCTGAGGTGGGATTTAAACCTAAGACTCCCCTGACTCCCTCCTCCAACAGTCAACCTCCTGCCCTATCCTCACAAAACTATTGCAATAACCCAGGCTGATGGTAGCCAGGGCCCATTCATCCAGAGCCCATGGGGTTTGGGGGGGCAGGAATGAGGAGAGAGAAGAATTAACAGGACCTGGTGAATGTGTGAGAGGTGAGCAAGAGGGAAGAATCAAAGGAAATTCCAAGGTTATAAGTACGGGAGATCAGGAGTAAAGTCAGGAAGAATAGGTTTGGGGGAAAGATAAAAGTTTGGTTTTGAACTCTTGCAGTTTGAAGTACTGGTGGGACATCAAAGTCAGTATGTTCTTATCTTTGGTGGAGATGCTGGCCTGTGGCTCAGAAGAGCCAACATGAGAAAGAGAGGGCAGTTAGTCCCCTGGACATCGCTATCCCATCTGAGCACTTCAGACCTTTTGGTGGAGAAGGACTGCAGGAATAAAAAGGTCAGACTAACACTTGCTAACCCTCTATTCCCTTCCCTGTTCCTCCAGTCTCCCTCCCCTGCCACTTCCTCCATGGCCCCACTCTTTCCCAGACCCTCCAACTAATGTGAATCCTCAGAATGGTGGGAGATCCTCTGTCTACTCCAGGCGCAAGACCCATTCCCTGTCCTTTTTCCACCTCATTACGGGAGGAAGGAGAATTTGGGAGCCCTGGAGTTGCCAAATTCCACTCTCTCATTTCCTGCCTTTTTAGTTTTTAACCAGGAGATGGCGCGGAGCGGGGCTGAGTAAGAGGGGTTCTGGGGAATCCTGGCAAAGCTTGCTCGAGGATCCCCTCGTTCCCTCGCCGCGCCCGAGAAAGAAGAGGAGCTGACATTTTCCTTCTCCATGGGATCAGAACTAAGTTGATCTGTTTCTCTGTCTGTAAAACGAGAGGGGTTGAACCAACTGTGCTCTAAGGCTCTCTGTCACACCCTGTCCCCAGTTCGGACATTCTATGGTCCTATGACTGTAAGACTCTATGCCTGAGAATCCCCCATTCCCACATCCCGCTCCGCACCTCCCCATCAGATCATGTCCTGGGTCCCTGCCAGATGCCGATGTTCAGTCCGGGCCAGATCCAGCGTCTGCAGGCTGGAGTCTAGGGAAGGCGGGGCGGGGAAGGAGGGGTCTGGCGGGACAGCACTGGGAGCCACATCCCTCAGACCAGCTCTGCCACGCCCCAAGGTCAAGGCCGGGGGGGCGGGGCCTCCTGAGCTCCTTCACCGGCCGGAACACGAGCTCCTCCGAGGCTTAGGTTCTCTAGGACATATGGGTCCCAAGAAAGGCAGGAGATGCTTTGAGGTTCACAGATTTGAAAGTGGGAGGGGCTGGGAAACCCATTCTCTCTAGATCTGTCTCTCCAGCCCGGGGGCTAGCCCCTCCCCTCCAGACGCTCCTCCCTTGGTCCAGCCCCTGGCTTCCTCCTGGCTTCCAGCCGCGGTCCCCCTCTTTCCCTGCGCTCTGGGCAGCCCCCAGCCTGGCTCAGCTCTGCGAGCCCTGGGGGCCGACACCACCCTCTGCCTGTTTTGCCATGCGCCCGCCGCCCTCTGCACTCCTGCTCCTGCTGCTGCTGCTGCTTGGGGGCAGGCCCTCCTGGGGGTCCTCTGAGCCCCCGCTTCCAGCCGTGGTCATCGCTGTGTTGGCTCGCAACGCCGGATACTCCCTGCCGCACTATCTCGGGGCTCTGGAGCGGCTGGATTACCCCCGGGCCCGCCTTGCCCTCTGGTGAGAGACCCCAGTGTGCCTCCCTGTCCCCAGCTCACAGTGACCTTCCTTTTGCTCTCCCTCATAGTCTGTTTTCCCAGGATACTGCCCATGTTGGGGGACCATCTCTCTGCGCCCCATCCCCAGTCGCAGAGATTCCTCAGACTACAGGGCTCCCTGCCATTCCCCACTTCCCACCCCAGCTGGCACTGGTCCTCTGGACCCTGGGTCTGAGCTGAGGGTTGGCCTCTCCACCATCTTCTTGGCCTCTCTTTGCCTTTCTGGGAATTTTCTCCTTCAGCCTCACCCCTTTCCTTTCTCCCTCATTTCCCTGGCTTTCCCTACCCCATTTTCCCTTTCTTTATGTCCACTTCTCTCTCCAAGCCTTCTCTTTTCCCTAACAAGCTTCTCCATTCTCTTCTTTCGCATTCCAACCTTATTTGTTCTCTCAGGACCTGTGGTTTGATCTGGTGGAGTTGGGAATGCACAGCTAACTGCTTGCTCAGTGCCTGTCCTTTCCCAGCTGGACTTGGTTAGAAGAAGTAAGGGGTCCTCTGAGCCCCTGCTGGCATCTTCAGCCCTAATAAGACCTTTATCCCCTTTCCCTCTGAGGTCCGGACAACTCTGGTGGAGAGTTGTTTCAATCCTTTTCCACAAGATCTCTTCGAATCTGGGCTCTAATCAAATCAGATGCCAGTCCACTATACCTTTGCTTCTCATACACCTTTCCCTTTTAGGGATGGCAGGGGATTCCTGCCCTCATCTCAAAGACCTGGATAAAAGGGAAGGGAATGACAGGATTAAGGGTATCCCATTTAGGTTCATTCAGTTTCTCAGCCTCCCCCATAGGGTATTTTCTATCCTGGGCCCTGAAGCAGGCTGAGGAGGGTAGCAGAGGACACACCCTGGAGCCCAGAGGCCTCCCCCATCTATGGAAACCAGTGAAGGCATAAGACCTGGTAGGGAGAGTTAGTTGGATTGGACAGGATGGAATGACTGACACCCCCCCTAACCTTCAGCCCTTGGCTGGTGAGGGGTGGTGTGGACTGGTGACCAAGTGAGGTCTCCCACAATTCCCACAATTTTGGACATAGAGGGTTGGTCCCCACCCCTAGCTGAGAATGACACGTTTGCTCTCATCTCTCAGCTCTTTAAAGAGACAGGAACATTTAAAACTGGGAGTTTTGTTTAAATTTGCTCCCATCACCCCCAATAGAGAGAAGCTAAAGCCTCCCCCAACTCTAATGGCACCTTTGACTTAATATAGTGCTTCTGCTGTTAATTGCTCAAAACGACTTTGTCCTCCTTCACAGCAAGTTTGGGTGAGTTTGTGACCGGAGGTAGATGGGAGTGGTCATTCTTCCCTATGTTATAGATCTGGAGACTGTGGCCTAGACAAGTGGAGTCATTTGTTGAAGGTTACCACTAAATCAGGGGTAGAGTCCTGATCAGAGCCCAGCCCTCTGTCTCACAGCCCAAGAATCTTTCCCTTTCCTCCCAACTCCCATCCCTGAAACCCCTACTCCTTGGACTTTTGGAAATCTTTCACTAACCACGTCAACTTAAATTCTTTTCTCAGCAACCAAGGAGAGCAATACTGTTCCTTTTGTAGCAGATAGGGAAACTGAGTCCCAGAAAGGGAAAGTGACTTTCCCATGATTACTTATGAAGTTTGTGGAAGAGCTGACACTAAGACCTGATGGCCAAACTCAGGTTTCTTTCCGCTATATCTCTGGATGGAGGCAATGCTTTGCATGGGAGAGAGTCCCGGATTTGGACTTAGATGACCTGAGGTCAGATCTAGGCTTTGCCATTTAATACCTATGTGATTGGGGCAAGTCAATAATCCTCTCTGGGCTCAGTTTCCTCATTTGCAAGCTAAGGATTCAACATATGTGTTTACCCCCCCCCCTACACACAATTCAGTTTGCTCAGAAGACCTAACCTCAGAGCCATAATTTGCCATTTTTGTGCCCAGGATAAATAGCATGAAACTAACTTTCAGGTGAGGGGAGTTGAAGAAAGGAGTAAGGCCAAGGCTCTGGTGGCATCATGAAGTAGCTGCAGAGGAGGCCACTCTGGGGATGGAGTTAGGGCCAAACCAGCTAGTTTAAGGGTACCTCTAGAGGGGCAAGTCATCATCTCATGGCTTCCTGTTTTATTTATTCTTTATTTTATATCACCTACATTTCCCACTATAGGGTTTCCTGAAAGTCTTAGTGCAGGCTTAAGCTATTAAAGCTTAAGTTATGAAAGCTTAAACCTACACTAAGAATTTTGGAAAACCCTCTATATACTTCTTCCCAGAAAGCGAAACCATATAAGAAAAAAGAAAAGTTTATCAAAACTAACCAAAATATCACAAAAGCTTAATCTTGTGTGCAGCATTCTACATCCATAGCCCTCTACCTCTGCAAACCAGGGGAGGAGGTACCTATTTCTGTCTTCTTCATGATAAAACTTGGTCATTATAATTTTGCAGCATTCAGTTCTGAGTGCTTTGTTGTTCTTGCTATGTACATTGTGTATATTGTTTTTCTGTTTCTGCTTACTTCGCTTTGCTGCAGTTCATATACAGCTTTTCATGTTCTCTAATAATTTTACTACAGCTTCCTGACCCAACGGATAGAGCACCAGCCCTGGGGAGTCAGGAGGATCTGAGGTCAAATCCAGCCTCAGACACTTCCTAGCTGTGTGATCAGGGCAAGTCACTTAACTATTTGCCTCAGTTTCTTCATCTGTCAAATGAGCTGGAGAAGGAAAGGCAAACCACTCTAGTATCTTTGCTAAGAAAACCTGAAATGGGGTCACAGAAAGTTGGACGCTACTGAACAACAACAATTATTTTACCAGCTAGGTGATAAGCTGAATTTTTTTTCAATGCTGCTGAAGGACTGAAAGTTTCGTCAGTGCCCTTGGACAGAGTGCATCTAGCCGTGCCTAGTTAGTGTTCTTCTGAGCTATCCTAACCTTAAGAATGGCTAGCACTCAGATGGAATATAATTGGACAGGTCTGGTACAGGATGTGGAATTCAGTCCTCAGATGAGGAATTTGGGTTGTTGTCTAGACTCTCCCACCGAGCCAGCTCTAAACCATGCCCAGGTCATAGGTGATTCAGTCTTGCCCCTTCCTCATGATTGCTCTGACCACAGGTGTGCCACAGACCATAATGTGGACAATACAACAGAGATTCTTCAGGAGTGGCTGGCTGCTGTGGGCAAGGACTATGCAGAAGTGGTGTGGCGACCTGAAGGCGAGCCAAGGTGCGCAGGGTTGGGCATCTGGGATTCAGTTCAAATCAGTTGAATTCAACACATACTCATGAAGCACCTACCATGTGTATGTAAGCACTGTGCTAGGCTAGGAATACAAAAACAAAAATAAAACTGTTGTACCTGTTCTCAAGTAGCTTACATTTTGCTGAGGGGAAACAACTGGTAATCAGATAAGTAAAAGCAAAATAATTTAGGGAGCAAGAGAGCATTCACAACTGGAAAAACCAGAAAGGGGCTGTTGCCCAAGCCCCATAGTAAGCTGGTGGGTTGGAGCTGCACCTGAACTGAGACCCAAAGGAAGCTCAGGATTCGAAGAGGTAGAGGTAAGAAGGGAGTGCATTCCGGATATGAAGCGCAAACAACCTGTGTGAAGATGCAGAGATGGGAGATGCAGTATCGAGTCTAAGGAAAATACCAAGTCAAGGGAATGGCTCTTAGGAGAGTTTAGCTAGAATGTAAGCATGTATGAAGGGAAATAATGTGGAATGAATTTGGAAAGGCAAGGTGGAGCCGGAGGAAGGGGTGTAAGACAATGTCACCTGCAGTTCACAGGAAAAGTCTGAGGGCTTTTCTCCATTTCTAGTCTTTTTTGGGCTAGAGGCAGCTGTGAAAGCAGCAGGGCTTTAGGCTAGGTCAGCCTTAAGAAAAATAGAAGTTGAAGAGTTTAACACTGGCATTCCTAGTCTTGGTTCTGGGTCTTTTCCCCACTACATCTAGCTCTAATTGTAAAAAAGTGTTTCCTTACATGAAGCTTGTAGTGCATTAAGATCCCTGAGTCATTTTCCCATGAATTTTAGTTTTCTTACCTCTCCCTAGTGTACGAGCTTTCTCCATTTTCCTCCTCTGAAATTGATGGTGTTGGACTTGATGACCTCTAAATGCCTTTCTAGCTCTAATAATCTTAAATTCCTTCCTATTTATGTTACCAGGGCTTCTAGGTGGTGCAGTTGATAGAGCTCTGGGCCTGGAGTCAGGAGACACTAGCTGTGTGACCCTGGGCAAGTCACTTAACTCTGCCTCAGTTTCTTATCTGTAAAATGAACTGCAGAAAGAAATGGCAAACCACTCCAGTATCTTTGCCAAGAAAATCCCAAATGGGGTCAACAACAACAACCTGTTGTTAAGGAGACAGTAGTGTTGAGTGTAATCTATTTATCCCAGAAGGCAAATGGTTTCGTGTGTTAGTGGGCTGGACTTAAGAGTCTGGGAACCATATGCCTTACCTAACTTTTTATCTTACCAGGCCCACATATTAGGCACTGTTTGATGAATGAATGATCTCTCTTCCTAACCCCAGACCAGCATATGGAAGGGCATGACAGGCTGTAGTGAATTTATTTATAGTAAACTACAAATGTACACTCTTGGGTAAAGTGAGTCTCTTACCCAGGAATTTGCATTTTAATAGTACTCCAAGTCTTAAATTAAAGGGATGAGAGACAGTTCTGTTGCCCAAGGTCGAGCAGTTGGTTAGTGGGAAAGTTAGAACTCTAGAACCCAGGTCTCTAGACTCCCAGGCCAGTCACCCCAAGGAGTTGGTAAGGCCCCTTGCCCTGAGGCACTGTCTTGGTTTCTGATCTTTGGCCTGATCTGATCTTTGGTATAGGTTATACCCAGATGAAGAGAGTCCCAAACAATGGACCAAGGAACGCCACCAGTTCCTCATGGAGCTGAAACAAGAAGCCCTGGACTTTGCCCGAGCTTGGGGAGCTGACTATATCTTGGTAAGAGAGTCTCATACCCTCATCTATCCTGACCATCTGGCCTAAAAAATCTCAGGGAGGCTACTCAGTTCCACTGGACCATATCCCTGGATCCAATCACTGTATCACTTCCCCAGATCATACCAGAAACCCCAAGTCAGGCCCTGTGTCTACTCTGGACCCCAGAAGAACTTGTAGGGGTACTTCTTGGTTGACCCCTACCTGGGACTGACCTGAACTGGCCTGTGACCAACCTGTCCCATTCACTCCCAGTTTGCAGACACTGACAACATCCTGACCAACAACCAGACCTTGAAGTTCCTGATTGGGGAGGGCCTGCCAGTGGTGGCCCCTATGCTGGACTCCCAGACTTATTACTCCAACTTCTGGTGTGACATCACACCACAGGTGAGGTCCTGGATGGGGAGAACCTAATAGATTTTGAGACTCAAAACAAGCAAACCTTCTAACCTGATTTGAATGGAGTTGGGGTATTGAGACTGGAGTAGTTTCTTCCTAGAAAGTATCTAACCCTAATGGCAAGGAGGTATGGTGCCTGATTGGGGTGGGAGCAGGGGGCAGGAAGAAAAGGGCCTAGCAGTTTTCCAACAGTCCTGGTCCCCCTTGCTCTACCTCAGGGCTATTACCGGCGTACACCAGATTACTTCCCTACCAAGAATCGACAGCGTCAGGGCTGTTTCCAAGTGCCCATGGTACATTCTACCTTTCTGTTAGCCCTTCGGGGCAAGGAGGCTGACCAACTGGCTTTCTATCCCCCCCATCCCAACTACACATGGCCCTTTGATGACATTATCGTCTTTGCTTATTCTTGCCAGGCTGCAGGTGAGTGGTCTCAAGTTGGGCTGGGAATCATGGAATGTTAGATCTGGAAGGGGACTTAGAACATGGAATACAAGAACTGGAAGGGATTTTAGACTATAAAATGTGAGAACATAGATGCATAGAATGGTGGTAGAGGTCTTCCCTGGGAGGAAGGCAGGTAAACTAGCCCAGAATGGAGTATGGGGAGGGTAGCTCCCTTCCTTTTTGCTGGTGTGGGTGCCATGGGGGAAGAGACCCAGCTAAAGGGTGGGCAGAGCTCAGAAAGGGAGATACCTTTGGTGCTTTGAGATCCTTTGATTCCCTTCCCCTCTACTTTGCCTCATTCCTCCAGGTGTCTTGGTCCACATTTGCAACCAGCATCGTTTTGGATACATGAATGTTCCAGTCAAATCACATCAGGGGCTAGAGGATGAGAAAGTCAACTTTGTCCATCTAATCTTGGAGGCCCTGGGTGAGTAAGGCTGTGGCAGGTGGCACCTTCTCTTCCCTAGGAAGCTTTGGTAACAATGCCTTTCTTCTCCACATATAGCCATGCTTTGCCTTTCCTCTCCCTTCCCCTCTCTTTTTCCCCTCCCCTTTCCCGGGATTTCAGTTCTGGCCTTTTCTCAGTCTCCATATACTCTTTTTTTTTTAGGCAATTGGAGTTAAGTGACTTGCCCAGGGTCACACAGCTAGTAAGTGTCGAGTGTCTGGTCTGAGGCTGGATTTGAACTCAAGTCCTCCTGACTCCATCCCCGGTGCTGTATCCACTGCGCCATCTGGCTGCCCCAAGTCTCCATATACTCTTGCCCTTGTTATAGGACCCAGGACTATAGGATAGTAGTTCTAGGGCTAGAAGGGATCTCAGGGATCACCTTGTCTAAGTTCCCCATTTTACAGATAAAGAAACTGAGATCTAGAGAGGTTCAATTACTTGTCTGTGGTAGCTAGCCCTCCACTTGTAGTTGTACCATAATACCTCAGACCTTGTAATACGGTGTCTGAGAACTCTGCTCTCCTTTCATTCCAGCACCTCCAAAGCCCTGGACCAAGCAGCCAGTGCTACTCAGTAGCCTAGCAAACCCCTTGGGCTGTCAGAAGTTGAAGGACCTTAGAGGTCCTCCATGTCACCCCCTCATTTTACAGTTGGGTAAAGTGAGACCCAGAGAGAGGAAGTGACGCTCCAAAGCTAACTTAATGGCAGAGCCAGAACCAGAACCCAGTTGCCCAGTCCCGAACTCTTTCTGCAATGGAAGATAAGACAGTGGGTCCCTAACTTTCCTTTGGACTCATTCCTCCCTGTGTCTAAGTTTTCCTGGGTCCCTGAAGAGGACCCCAGTTTGAGACCCTACTTTGCTGCTAACTTGCTGTGTGGCATGAATCCAGTCTCTTCCCCAGCTATAAAATGGTAGGGTTGGGGGCAGCTAGGTGGTACAGTAGATGGAGTCAGGACGACCTGAGCTCAAATCCAGCCTCAGACACTTGACACTTACTAGCTGTGTGACCCTGGGCAAGTCATTTAACCCTAATTGCCTCACCAAAAATAATGATGATGATAATAATAATAATAATAGGGTTAGATTAGATGATCTCCAAAGTCCCTTCTAATTTTAATATACCATGGTATGAGGGTTGGGGGAGATTAATGAGACTAAGAGCCAGAAGGAGCTAGGCTAAATTCATGACCAGATTCTGGGGGTGGATCTTTCTATCACAGCGGATGGTCCGCCTATGCAGCCTTCAGCCCATGTGTTCCTGCCCCCGAAAAGGCCCAACAGGATGGGGTTTGATGAGGTATGTGTCCTAGGGATGCCAGGTCAGGGAGGGAGGGGCTTGGATGAATCGCCTTCCTCGAGCCTCTATTCTGCATTCCTGAGCACATTTGTAGACAGAAGTAAATTAGATTAGATTGTAAGCTCTTTGAGAGTAGGGACTATCTTTTGCCTCTTTTTGTATCCCTGAACTGCACACATAGTAGGCACTTAATAAATGTTTATTGATTGATTGATATTGAGAAAGATTGAAGATGCAGGAGAGATGATGCCCACTAGTTCTATTTCCTAAGGTTTTTGTCATCAGCCTAGCCCGTCGGCCTGAACGCCGAGAACGGATGCTAAGCTCCCTGTGGGAGATGGAGATTGCTGGACGGGTACTGGAAGCTGTGGATGGCAGGTGAGGAACCTGGATCCTGAACTGGCCTGGCTGGTTTCCAAAAACTAAGCCCTGAGTCACTGATAAAAGGGAACGGGGACCCAGATGGGTGTGTGGGGAGGATATGACTTGAAACCCTAGCCAGTCCCCTCCATATCTCCCTGCAGTGCACTCAACAGCAGCACCATCAAAAGCCTGGGTGTGGACCTTCTCCCTGGCTACTATGACCCCTACTCTGGCCGCACGCTGACCAAGGGGGAGGTGGGCTGCTTCCTCAGCCACTACGCCATCTGGGAGGAGGTGAGGATATAGTCGCTGGGGAAACCAGGGCAGGGAAAAGTGTTCATTTCAACTCACAGATGTTGATTGAACATGCAATGTCCTTTTCTCTAGTGATAGGGAGAGCATCCCTAAGGGTTATTTCTCCACCACTGCCTTTGATCTTTTGCCACCCCTGGCCTTCTCTAGGACCTTGTCCTAGCAGCTACGTACCCCCTCCTCTCTCTCATCTTCAATCTTTCTGTCTCCTTATCTGTCTACAGATATGCCCAGGTTTCTTCAATTCCCCCAAAGCTATCCCTTGATTCTTCTGCTCTATCCAATCACCATCCTCTCTCCTCCCCTTCTCTGCCACTTTTCTTTTTTTCTTTTTTTTTTAAAAATATTTATTTAGTTTTAGTTTTCAACATTCATTTTTATAAGATTTTGAATTCTAAAGTTCCCCCCCTCCCCAAGACAGCTCTGCCACTTTTCAAAGAAGTACTCTCACTGGATGTTTTCCTAACTGATCTAGCCCCATCCCTTGAAGTCCGGCTTCTGTTCACATTTCTTTACTGAAACTGCTCTCTCTGAGGTCACCAACAACTTACTGATCTCCAAACTGAAGGGCCTATTTTGCAGCCTCAAGCTCCTCAGCCTCTTTATAGTACTTCATATAATTTCCCATACCCTCCGGATTCTTTCTCCTCACCCACCTTCAGAGTCACCACACTGTCTTGGTTATCCTTCTCCAATTCTTTTTTTCTGTCTCCTTTAGAAAGCCTTCACTAGCTCCTCCTCCCCTCATCCTGTTTCCTCCACTCAACATTCTATCCTTATTCCTCTTTGCTCTATTGAAGCCTTCTCCTTTGCCAATCCAATTTGTTCCTTGTTTCAGCTATGCAGAGGACTCTCAAACCTCTATTGCCAGGATTGACCTCCCTTCTAAGCTTCAGACCTATATCTCCACCCGCATGCTGAATATCTCCATTTGGATGTCCTACCAGCAACTCAAAGGCAACCTGTCTAAAACCATGCTCACTGCCTTTCCTTCTAACTCCGTTCCTACTTCTGATGTGTGGGCCCCACCATTTACCAGTCTGTAGTGTCTGTAGTCTTGCACTTCTTCTTGGCTCTCTCCTTCCCCTCACCTCTCTTACCCAGTCTGTCACCAAGTCTTGTCAATTCTGCTTCCATGTTGTTGTTGTTCAGCTATTTCATTCATGTCCAACTCTTGGGGATTCCATTTGGGGTTTTCTTGGCAAAGATACTAGATTGGTTTGCCATTTCCTTCTCCAGCTCATTTTACAGATGAGGAACTGAGGCAAACAGGGTCAAGTGACTTGCCCAGGGTCACGCAGCTAGCTAGTAAGTATCTGAGGCCAGATTTGAACTCACTTCAGGCCTGGCACTCTATCCACTGAGCTACCCAGCTGCCCCTGATCTTCTTTGTGGGATGAATTGATTCCCTGCAAAAGATGGTCCAGGAAATGTACCCAGGTTTTAAATATTACCAAATACTTCCACATTTTATAACCTAAAACTTCTAACATAAACTAGGACACAAAACAACTTACAAAACAAAACACACAAGGTTATTCACATACCCTCTTTTCGTGGAGAGAAGTGGCTATCATGAATAGGGAGAGAGTCAATCTACAACCACAGATCCCCCAATAGGAAGCTCTCCCCTTGTGGACAAATTTTTCCACTTGGGCCCTATAGAATAGGAGGGAGGTTTCTAATAAGGGTCTGGGGTGTAGAGCTCTTATTTCCTATCCCACCACTGCCACAACTTCTCATGGGGGAAGTTTACTATGAATAAAAAGTAGAAGTTTTCTAAGTATACTATTTATTAATACGGATGCCACTTATTAATAAAGGACAGGTCAAGGCCTGCCTCCATTTGTGCCAAAGACTGCCTCCATAACATCTGCTAAATCTGGCCCTTCCTCTCTATTCCCACTGATGCCACCATAGTACACCTAACTGTACTATTATAATAATATCCTAACAGCTCTTCCTGCCTCCGCTCTCTCAGGCCCTTCCCCACCCCTACCCCTCCATCCAGCCTTCATACCACTTCCAAAATAAATTGTCCTAATGGACTGATCTGGTTGTGTCTCCTTCTACTCAAGAATCTCGAGTGTTTCTCTATTCCCCATTAAGGAAAGTTCAGACTTGTCAAGCATTCCAGGCCCTCCACAATCTAGTACTAGCCGTCCTACTTTCCCAGCCTTTCCTCATATTTCTCCCCACCTTCTTCAAGCACAGAGACACTCCAGCCAAGCTGGACCACTCTCTGCCTCACAGACACATCCGAGACTTTCTCACGTCCATTCCCTTTGCTCAGGCTCTTCCTCATGCCACAGAGTATCTTCTGTCTCTAAAGGCTGTTATCTTACGGGTCTATGGATGCCTTCCTTCTTTGCCAGCCTTTAAAGTCTAACTCAGATGGTGCTTCCTTCACTGAGTTTTCCCTGAACCCCTCCAGTGCAGATCAGTAATGAACTTCCTTCCCAGACCTTTCTGAAATATGTATTTATAGTAATCCATGCATGTTTCATGGTCCTCTATTGTCAGTCAATCAAGTACTCTCTATATGCCACGTGTGGGTACCAAGATGAGAGAGAGAGAGAGAGAGAGAGAGAGAGAGAGAGAGAGAGAGAGAGAGAGAGAGAGAGAGAGACAGAGAGAGACAGAGAGAGAAAGAGAGAGACAGAGAGACAGAGAGACAGAGAAGGGAGAGAGAGAGACAGAGAGAGACAGAGAATAATCCCTGCTTTCGAGAAGCTAATATTTTATTGGAGGAATATAGGGTGTCCCAAAAGTCTTAAAACTACACTAAGACTTTTGGGATACTTTGTATCCCTACAGTTTCACAAGGGTAGAAACCTGTCTCACCTAAACTTTGTATCTCCTGGAACAGTGCTCTGTATACAATAGGCGCTTAAGAAACAATTGACAGTGGGGTGGCAAGGATAGCACCTTGGGACCTATGCTAACAGAAAAATGCTTGGCCCTGTGCCAGGAATGGAGGATGGTACAAAAAAGACTAAAACAGGTTAGGAGAGATAAGAGATGGACAAACTAGATAGAATCTGCTAAATTTGTGAGAAGTAGGAATATAGTGCTTTTAGATTTCAAAGAAGGAAGAGTTTGTGTCCTGTCTGGGAGGATTAGGGAAGGCTTCTTGTAGGAGGTGGCATTTGAATTAATCTATTGGAGTTCTTGAGTAGGGGAGCCATGGGACCATGAAGGCAATGCTTTCAGGGGAGTGAAGCTAGAGGTGATGAGTGTGCAGGTTAAGTTGGGGGATCCTCGGGCTCTGAAGGTGGCCACCCTCCTTTCCTGTGCCTACAGATGGTCACCAGGGGTCTGGAACGGGTCGTGGTGTTCGAGGATGATGTGCGCTTTGAAGCCAGTTTCAGGCAGCGGCTGGAGCGGCTGATGGAGGAGGTGTCTCAGGAGCAGCTGCAGTGGGACCTGATGTAAATTATGGGGCCAGGGGCCAGCTGAGGTCGGGAGGGGCAGCATTCTTAGGACATGTGCTGGCAGAAGACTGCATGGGCTGAGTTGGAACAGGTCCCTTCAACTAGCCAGGCCCCGTCCTTTCCAGGCAGCCCTCTGAGCTTGTGCTGCATAGAACTGGAAAGATTTAGCTAGGGTGGGGAGCCGATGGCAGGGCGGGGGAACCTTCTGTGATGCTCTGGGTTTCTGTCTCTGCCACCCCTCTAGTTACCTAGGGCGCAAGCAAGTTACCTGGGAGGAGGAGCCAGCTGTGGAAGGTGTGCACCACCTCGTAGTAGCCAACTACTCCTACTGGACTCTGGCCTACGCTCTGTCCCTGAGCGGGGCTCGGAAGCTGCTGCAAGCCCAGCCTCTGGGCAGGATGCTGCCTGTGGATGAATTCCTGCCCATCATGTATGACCGGCATCCCAAGTGAGGCTCAGGGGCGGGGGCTGGGGTGCCTATGGAGCTTATACCTTTTGCCCTCGGGTTCTACAAGTTCTAGTCTGTTGGCATTTCCCTCCTGGGTTCAGACCAGGGGCCTACCACCTCACATGGGGCTTCCATGCGCTCTTCTCTGCAGTGAAGACTACAAGAAGCACTTCTTCCCCCGGGACCTGAGAGCCTTTGCTGTGAGGCCCCTGCTTGCTTTCCCCACCCACTATGCAGGGGATGCTCAGTGGCTGAGCGACACAGAGACATCTACCATCTGGGATGATGATACTCAGGCCACTGGTTGGAGTGGTTCTCGAAAGACCCTGAGGGACCCAAGGTTGGACAGGGTGCGCAGCAGTGGACACAGCTTCCATTCCGCTTCTCATGATGAGCTCTAGTGTTGAGGGGTAAGCAAGCACTGGGAAGAGGGAGGAAGGGAAAAATGGAGGGAGGGAGGAGGCCCCCGGGGACACTTCATCCTTTAGTCCTATACCCACGACTCTCCTGCCTTCTAGGGCATCAAGGTTTTATATGTGACTTTTTATTTCTATGTCTGTCTCCCTCTGATTCTATGTTTCTCTCTTTTTTTCTTTTGGTTTCTCCTCCCTCTGTCCTTCTCATTTCTCAGGGTTTGTCTGTAGATCAATGAATAAACCTCGACAAGCAGAGCTGACACAAGGATCTCCAGCCAGGAGCCGGCAGTAGCCAGAAGAAACCCTTCTAGCTCCCCTAGGTCCAGTGGAGAGATCACTGCTGTTCATTTCAGTGTTTCCTTATCTGAGTCAAAACCAGGGCCATTACCACTGTAATTTCCCCACTCCTCTTCCCCAAAACAACAGCAAACCACTCCCCCTTTCCACAAAGGTGCTAAGGCAAGGGGCTACTAACCAGCTGCCGGCTTGTTGTTTTTGTTTTTTTTTTTTACAGAGGGTAGGTGGGAACTGAGTCCCTAAGAATCTCTCTCTCAAGGTCACAGACACACTACTTTAGTCTCAATGGTCTGGGATCTGTTCAATAGTGTATATGGAAGGAGGGAGGAGACCCTAGAATTCTTGGCTGACCTGCTCAAACCTAGAGCTGAGCCCTTTATCTTTCTCACCCCGACTCCGTCCTGCATCCCTCTTTCTCTGAAGTTAGGGCTAAGGAAAGGAACAGGATTTGGAAATCTCCCAGACTGAAGAGGAGGAGACAGAAAAAACAAGGACTAGGAATCTGAGGTTGGCAACTGAGCTTTCCACTACCACTAGGCAGCAGGATGAAACATTCACTGATCCCGTCACCACTGATCAGGAGGTTATCAGCAGTAGCAAGGCTGAATGACCTCTGTAGCTATCTGACTGTACCCAAAGCCTGGGGAACCCTCTCTACCCGCTTTCTTTAGCTCTTTCTGGAGGCTGTTACTGACACAGCATGAATTAGCTGCCTAAGGTACCAGTCCCAGGAAGATAGAGAAGGATCCATTCCAGACCTGATGTCTTGTAATAAATAAATGTTTGGTTTGCACTTTAAACTTTGCCCCTGCCTCATTACACGTGTATCTGATCTTTGATTCTAAAGGAAGATTAATAGTGATAAGCTCCATTTAACAGATGAGGAAATCAAGGTCCAGTGAAGTCATGGTATCCAGAGAGTTGGTAGCAAAGCTAGAACTAGAACCCAGATATCCTAATCGTCTGTCCTCAGACCTTTCTATATATCAAGCTATAGCTACTTGTGCTATGTATGGCCCAAGATATGCCAGTGTTTGTCCTTGGGAAAGTTATAAGCTAAAGGCTGTGTGTAGATTTTATTGCACCAGCCCAGAAAATCTCTGGCCAGCAGCCCTCCCAGCAAACAGTTGCGTTTTAAAAGTTGGGGAAGTGTCATTTGGCTGGAGAGAGGAGGCAAGGGATGGTCTCTGGCACCATCTAATGGTGTTGGACATATACAACACCTTTGGCCTCTGAAAGGCAAGAGAGACTTTTGGGATGTTGCTGAAGCATGAAGGCACCTTGGAAGCCACCAGTCCAAAGCCCTTGTTTTCAAGACATTTGCCCAATGTCAGTAGCATAGGAGAACATGGTAACTTTTTTTTTTTTTTGCTAATCTAGAAATAGGCCACCCCCCAGCCTTAGCTTCAGATCCTCTCTGATTATTGGTTGTGTGACTAATTAAGGTGGGGGGGGGAGGGAGAGCTCCCCTGTTCTGATGCATCCAGCTCTGTGGAGAAAAGACTCAAATGCCTGGAGAAAAAGAGGAGCAGAGCCCAGATCCAGCATTGAGACCATGGTTATCTGCCAAAAAGAGCTCCCTCAGAGATGAATGGGGAGAGAAAGCCGTGGTGTGTGACTCCTTCCTTCACCTGAGAGACTCAAATTCAGTCACTTGGGGTGCAAGAGGCCTCCTATCCTGTAGTACATCGGATGTTGCTCTGAAATTTAGGGGCCTGGGAGGGGGCAGGCTGAGTTAGTGATAGGCCAGGTCCTGAGTGAAAGTTACTTCCTTATCCCAGGAACAGCATCTGATTCTCACTGGACTCTGTATAGTAGCTGCCTGTGACATCACACATACCCAACCTCTAGAGCTCTTTGCTCTCTACGCTATCTACTGAATTGCTCCTAGGGTCGAAACCTTTGGTGGGGAGTTCTGGGATGCAATTCTGCCTTCTGGAAGGGTAACTAAAGTCACACCACTACAGTTAAGGGAACAAAACCTGCTGCTACCCTGTGACAGTGTTCAATATTATAGCCTAGAGTTAGGTAAGAGTCATATTCCCTTTAAAAAGTATATGTATATATATATATATATATGTATATATATATATATATATATACACACACACATACACACACATATATATACACACACATATATACATATATAAACATATGTGTACATATGTATACATATACATATAAACTCAGATACCATAAAAGAGCATTTCTATATACACATCAGAAGACAAAAAATGGATCATAATAAAACGGTAAATCTCCATTTTGTACCACTTTATTGTTTTTAAGTATATAATAATTCCACATGTTACTTTCAAAACAGTCCTGCTTGCCTGTGCTTGCTCTTGAGCTTCCTTCTATGCACTTAAAAATATTTCAATGGGGAGCAGTTAGGTGGTGCAGTGGATAGAGCACTGGCCTTGGATTCAGGAGGACCTGAGTTCAAATCCAGCCTCAGACGCATAACACTTACTAGTTGTGTGACCCTGGGCAAGTCACTTAACCCCAATTGCCTAGCCAAAAAAATAAAGATGGGATAGGGGCAGCTAGGTGGCCCTGAAGTCAGGAGGACCTGAGTTCAAATCTGGCCTCAGACCAAACACTTGACACTTACTAGCTGTGTGGCCTTGAGCAAGTCGCTTAACCCCAATTGCCCAAAAAAAAAATATTTCAATGGCCCTCTTTTTTTTTTTGCATCATTATTAACTCACCCCACCCAAATTAAAACAGAGAGAACAAACAAGCATAATTAAGCAACACAAATGCCCATGTAAACAATAGCCAAAAATGTATGTCACATTCTGTGTAGTGAGTCCACCACCTCTCTGTCAAGTAGGTAAACTCCATCATTGGTTCTTGGGAATCATGATAGTTGGTAATTATGTTGCTTAGAGTTTGTTTTTTTTAAAAAATCTTTCAAAGGTATTTCTCTTTATGATTTTATTGTCCTTTATCATAAATAAATTAGAGGGGCATAGAAGAAATTACCTGTGAGATCTATAAGAAGAGGAAGAGTTCAAGACCAAATCTGAGATAGAGGTTTGTAAGAAGTAAAAGAAACAATTTTGATTACAAGAAAATTAAAGAGCTTTAATTTTAACAATTGTTAATTTAATGATTATTTTTGTTTAACAAAAAAGAGAAGAGAACCAGAAATTGGGGAAAAATATTTGCAGCAAGTTTCTCTGATAAAAGTCATTTCTAAGATTTATAGGGAGCTGTCAAGTTTATAAGAATAAGAATCATTCCCCAATTGATAAATGGTCGAGGGATGTGAATAGGCAGTTTCAGAGGAATAAATAAAGGCTATTTATTAATAGCTATATAAAAATACTCTAAATCACTAATAAGTAGAGAAGTACAAATTAAAACAATTCTGAAGTATCACTTCACATCAATATTAGCTAAGGTGACAAAAAGGGAAAATGATACATCCTGAAGGAGATACCAAAAACCTGTACTTTAATGGACCTATGAACTGGTTTAACCATTCTGAAAAATGATTTGGAACTATGCCCAAAAAGCTATTAAACTGTGCATACACTTCGATCCAGGATTCCTGCTACTAAGGTTAATTCCCCCACCTCCACCCGTCTTACCTCCTCCCCAAAAAAGAGAAGGACTCATATGTATAAAACTATAGCAGCTGTTTTTGTGGTAGCAAAGAATTGGAACCTGAGAGGAAACACATCATTCGGGGAATGGATGAACAAGTTGTTGTACATGAATGTGTTAGAATACAATTGTGCTGTAAGAAATGATGAAGGGGATGGTTTCAGAAAAAACCTGGGAAGACTTGTATTAACTGGTGCAAAGTAAAGTAAACAGAACCAGGAAAACAATGTATACAGATAATATTATTGTAAAGATAATCAACTTTGAAAGACTTGGGAACGCTGATCAATACATTGCCCAAACATGATTCCAAGGGGCTCATGAGACACACTTATCTACCTCCAGATAAAAAACTGATGGGCTCAGAGTGCAGATTGAAGGATATTTTCTTTTCTTTCTTTCTTTTTCTTCCTTTATGGATATGACTAATGTGGAAATTTGTTTTGCATGACTATACACATTTGAAATGGGTTTTTCTTTCTTTCTCAAGGGGTAGCAGAAGGGGAAGAGGGAGGGAAAGAATTTGGAACCAAAAATAAAATTGAGTTAAAAAAGAAAGGAAAAAAATCTTTGTTATAAGGAATGGCTCTCAGGGAAGGGAAGGGAGGGATACAGGGAGAAATTTAAGTAATGCAACAATAAAAGATTGATAAAATTTATTTAAAAAATAATGTTGTTATATACATTGTTTTACTAGTTCTGCTCAATTTACTCACTGTATAAATTTACTACGAGTTCATACAACCCTGGATTATCTGAAATTGCCTTTCTTTTTTTTAATCTTTAAGTTTTTTAAATGTATTTTATTTATTTTGTTAAATGCTTGTTAAATATTACATTTCAAAAATGTAAATAAATTACATTTTTAAAAATTTAACATTATAAAAAAAATTTTGAGTCCAAATTCTTTCTTTCTCTCACCCTCCCCCAAACCTTAAGAAGGCAAGAAATATGATGTAGATTATACATGTGAAATCATGCAAAATATATTTCTATATTAGCCATGTTGCAAAATGAAACACACAAAAACAAGAAAAATAAAGTTTAAAAAGTATGCTTCAATTTGCATCCAGACTTCACCAGTTCTGTGTAGAGGTGGATAGCATTTTTTCATCATGTGTCTTTTGGAATTATCTTGGATCATTGTCTTGAACAGAGTAGCCAAGTCTTTCACAGTTGATCATTGTTAAAATATTGCTGTTACAGTGTACAATGTTCTCCTGGTCCTGCTCATTTCATTTTGCATCAGTTCACATAAGATTTCCCAGGTCTGAAATTGCCTTTCATCATTTCTTATAGAGCATTCACATACCACAGTTTGTTTAGCCGTTCTCCAATTGATGGGCACCCTCTTCTAGTTCTTTGCTTTTCTTTTTCACCCCTTGAATCCCTTTTCAGGACCAGGGAGTCTTTTTGTTTTGCTTGAAGCTATTCCCTCTCAGTTATTATTCTCCTGCTTAACCACCTCTCTTCATCTCTCCTTGTTTGCCTGCTGATTTTGATGCATTCCTGTACTAAGCTGTACATGTGCTTGTGTTCAACCCTTTTTTGTCTGTTTCAGAAGAGTGAGCTTCATCTGATCCCTGCTTCTCCTGCCCACCCCTTCCTTCATGTTTGTATATTCTTCTCACACACCTCAATTATAAGAAATAACAAGTTTCACCCCATTCTTTTCCTTTTCACACTAATGTATACCTTTTCCCCTCCTTTCTCTTAAGAATTCAGAATAAACCAATCCACCCCAGGTCTTTAATTTTTCTTCTTTAATTCCTTCAATCTCCTTCAAAGATATTACAGCTCTAAAGGAACATTTGTTTCTTTTCCTCAATTAGAATATTAGCACATCATCATAGACCCTTTCCAATAGCTCAGATAAATTCATTTATTTAGTTTCTCTTGACTTGTGTTTGTATTTCAAAGTTCCTACCCCAAGCTCTTGGGGTTTTTTTCCATCAAAAACGTTTGAAAGTCCTGCATTCAGTTCAAGCCAACAAATTTATTAAGCCTGTACTATATACCAAGTACAGTGTTAACCACTGGTGATACAAAGAGAGGCAAAAATAGTTCCTATTTCACAGGAGCTCACAGCCTAATAGGGAGACAACAGTCAAACAATTAAGTAGAAACAAAAGATATACAGGATAAATTGAAGATAATCTCACAGGGAAAGCATAAGCATTAA